CTAAAATGGCAAGAAAGCATCAAAAATGGGAAGGAACCATGAAATACAGGAGGAAATCATCAAAAAACAGGAGGAAAGAAACCATCAAAAATGGGAAGGAACCTCAAGGAAGGAACCACCTAAAGCATGAAGAACGGGAGGAACCATCAAAAACAAGAAGAAACCGTAAAAACAGGAAGAAACCATGAAAAATGGGAAGGAACCATGAAATACAAGAAGAAACCATCAAAACCAGGAGGAAACCATCAAAAACAAGAAGAAACCATGAAATACAGGAGGAAACCATCAAAAATGGGAAGGAACCATCAAATACAAGAAGAAACCATCAAATACAGGAGGAAACCATCAAAAATGGGAAGGAACCATCAAGGAAGGAACCACCCAAAGCATGAAGAACGGGAGGAGCCATCAAAAACAAGAAACCGTAAAAACAGGAAGAAACCATCAAAAATGGGAAGGAGACATCAAATACAAGAAGAAACCATCAAAAATGGGATGGAACCATCAAGGAAGGAACCACCCAAAGCATGAAGAACGGGAGGAGCCATCAAAAACAAGAAACCGTAAAAACAGGAAGAAACCATCAAAAATGGGAAGGAGACATCAAATACAAGAAGAAACTATCAAAAACGGGATGGAACCATCAAGGAAGGAACCATCTAAAGTGGCAAGAAACCATCAAAACCAGCAAGAAACCATCAAAACCAGCAAGGAACCATCAAAGACAGAAACCATCAAATACAAGAAGAAACCATCACAATCAAGAAGCAAACAATCAAAACCGAGAAGGAACCACGAAAACGGATGGAGGAAACGAGGAACGGAGGCGGCGACCACGCCACGCTTCCCCAGAACCCACCTGGCGTCGTGTCCGGGCTCTTCCAGCTGCCGCCGGAGCTGCGCCACCACGGCCAGGATGACGGCCTGGACGCAGAGCTTGCAGGGATGGTCCCGGAGCAGCTCCCGGCGCCCCACGAGCCGCTGGAAGTTGAGCACCGGGAAAGGCCAAGCGGCCACCAAATCCCGCAGGACCAGGGGTCTCCCGTCCAGGAACGCCGCTTGGAAGAGGACGGGCTGGAGATCGGCGGGAAGGGCGGGGAGAGGGCGGTGGGCGACGATGCGGCGGGCGCAGAGGAAGAGGAGGGAATCCATGGAGTTTTGGTTGGGGGCTGTGGGGATTTAGGGACCTTTTGGATGGTGGAGAATCAAAAAAATCCCCAAATGTGAGGATATCGTGAAGAAAAGTCGGGATTTTGGGCGGGCTGTGGGGATTTGGGGAGCTTTTGGATGGTGGAGAACCAAAAAATCCACAAATCCGAAGATATCCCGAAGCCGGGATAAGATGGCGGCGGTTGTGAGGGGACCCCTCAGCGCCGCTCCCCAAAACGGGGGTCCCGGAGTGCCCCAACCCAACCGGGACACCCCAAAATCCCACAGGGATCACAAACCCCTCCCGGGGATCTGGAAATTCCCACAGGGATGCCAAATTCCACCCTCCGGGGATCTGGAAATTCCCACAGGGATCCCCAAATTATTCCCAAGTGCCCTCAGGGATCCTCCAAAAGCGGCGCCGCCGTGCCCCGCAACATGGCGCCCTCCGGTCACTGCCTGCCTGCCCCCTGCCCGTACGGAACCTTCACTTCCGTGTCTGCGCGTTGTGGTAACCAATCAGCTATCTAAACCCGCCTTGGGGGCGGATTCTTTACTTTTAATTGGTTCTGACAGCTGTCTGTCAGTCTTTTATTTAATTCTCATTGGCTCAAGGCGTGATGGGCGGGTGCTTCTAAATCTCCCTAACTATTGGCTCATTTCCGCTATCAATAAGTAATCCCAGCCTTCCTATTGGCTGGCTCGTGGCGGGAGCGGGAGGTTCGCTCTGAGGCGACTCTGGTGTCTCCGGCGGAGCTTCCCTCGATCCCCCATCCCAATCCCGGTCCGAATCGCGATCCCAGACCCCAATCCCGGACTCAATTCCGATCCCCGATCCACATGGCGCCACCCACTCACAGCCTGCCCACAACCCCCTCTGGCCCCCAGCCCGTACAGAAGGTTTACTTCCGTGTCTGCACGTGGCGGTGACCAATCAGCGAGCTAAACGGGCCTTGGGGGCGGACTCCTTACGCTTAATTGGTTCCTAGAGCTGTCTGTCAATGTTTTATTAAATTCTCATTGGTCCAAGGCGAGACGGGCGGGCACTCTTACTGCGCCTTCCCATTGGCTCATTTCGCTGTCAATCACTAATCCATGCCTTTCTATTGGCTGGCGCTTGGAAGTAGCGGGAGCTTCGCTCTGAGATGGCTCTGGGGTCTTCGGCGGAGCCTCCCTCGATCCCCGATCCCAGTCCCGGTGCGAATCCCCATCCCAGACCTCAGTCCCGGTCTCAATCCCCATCCCCGATCCACATGGCGCTTCCCACTCACCCCCGCCCGCAGCCCCCGCTGGCCCCAGCCCGTACGGAAGGTTTACTTCCGTGTCTGCTCGTTGTGACAACCAATCAGCAGACAAAACCCGCCTTGGGGCGAAGTCTTTACCTTTTATTGGTTCTTAGAGTTGTCTATCAATGCTTATTAAAGTCTCATTGGTCCAAGGCGAGATGGGCGGGCACTTCCAAATCCGCCTTTCCATTGGCTCACCTCGCTATCAATCACTAATCCTTGCCTTCCTATTGGCTGGCGCTTGGCGGGAACGGGAGGTTCGCACTGAGGCGGCTCAGGGGTCCCGCTGGAGCCTCCCTCGATCCCCGATCCCAATTCCCGGTCCCCGACCCCAATTCCCG